TTTTTTTTTAAAAAAAAAAAGTATGCTAGTTCAGGATTGGGCAATCTACTTCCATAGTGATACTGCCTTGGAAACCCAAGGAGGGGTTGCTATGAGTCAGGTCCAAATCAATGGCAAATAACAACAACAACAACAACATGCTGGTTCAGAGAGTGTATGAAACTGCAGAAGTTATTTATTAAGAAATAAAATATTTGCATCAATAGCTGGCATTTTTGGTGTTTTTCTTGAGTTTTTTTGTTTTGTTTTGTTTAATTGTGATTTGGGTGAAAATTTACAGAGCAAATTCACTTTCCATACAGCAGTTCACATACACTTTGTCTCATGACATTGACTACAATTTACCATAATGCAACAGCTCCTTTCCCACTTCCTTCCCATAGTTACTTCCTCCCTGTGTCCTTCCCTCCATGCACTCCTGACCCCTGAGCTGTCTCCCTGTGCATACATAGCTCTTCTATTCTCCCATGATTATTCTCTCCAAGGTGTATCTACCTAGTGTAAATGTTCACCTCATATGCCTGTACTTTGTTTAGCTGGAAGCCACAGGAGTGGTTACAATTCCAGACCTGAAGGGCAGCTAGGGGCCATAGTCTCAGTGGTTCCACCAGGCTTTATCAGACCAGCAAACATGGTCCCCCTTTTTTTTTCTTCCCCCAAGTGATTTTGAGTTTTGTTCCACATTGTTATCCAGGATCTCCTACATAGATCCCCCTCTGAGTGGTTGACAGTGGTAGCCAGGCACCATCTAGTTCTTCTGGTCTCATAGTCGTATAGGCTGAGGATTGCATGGTGTACCAGTCACTTGGACTAATTGTTTCCATGTGTCTTTGGTTTTCTTCATTCTTCTTTGCTCTGGATGAGGAGAGACCTATCGTTGCATCTAGATGGCCGCTTGCACGCTTTTGAGATCCGAGTTGCTACTTGTCAAGGTAGGATGTGGGACAATGTTTTGTATAGTATGTTATGCCAATTGAGCTTGATGTCCCCTGCAGCTATGGTCCTGAGCCCACAGGTCCAACTACTCACTCCCTCTGGGTAGCTGGCTGTGGCCAAGAAGTGACTATAACCTTGTCCCTTGTCACCGCTACTATATATCTGGGAATTCTTACAAAACTTACCAATACACTTGTAGAAACATTGTCAGCCAACCCTATACATGGTCTTGGGCACACTACCCCCTGCATAGACATACCTAATAGTTCAGCCTGTCCACCCATCTACCCACCCATATATCCATGTTTGCCTTCACTGACAACACAGTACAGTATGTGCAAAAGGGTTTATCTTTGTTGTCTGTACCTCCCATGTACCTCTCTATGTCTTCCTCTTCCTCAATGCCACCATGTTGATTACTCACATTTGGTATATTGCCCTTTTCTTCACCCAAATCAATACTTGTCTCTACCTATCTAACAGTGTTTCTTCCCCTCCCCTCCCACCCCTAGTAACCAATAAAGAAAATTTCCTTCCATATGTAAACCTTTCCTTGACTTTTACAATAATGGACTAATACAATATTTGTCCTTCTGTGACTGACTTATTTCACTCAGCATAATGTCCTCCAAGTTCATCCACATTATGCAGTGTTTTACATATTCTACATTATTCTTTAGGGTTGCATAGTATTCCATTGTGTGTATGTACCATAGTTTGGTTATCCATTCTTCAATCGATGGACACCTAGGTTGTTTCCATCTTTTGGCTATTGTAAATAGTGCTGTGATGAACATGGGTGTGCATATGTCTGTTTTTCTTGGGTTTTAAGTAAGATTTCTAGTTTCTTTTCTCAGAGTCGTGAAAATATCAACTCCATATTCATATTATAAAGAGAGTCTGCAACAAGATGCCAAGGTGCCAACTATCAGTCCTGAGAGAGAGAGAATACACCTCGAAGAAGCAAATAAGGAGACATTTGTGTCTGAAATGAGGAAAACGAGGTTTCACCTCTAATAGTAGCATCTGATAGGATAAAAAAAACATGAAACCATATCATACAAAGATCAGAAGATCCACACCAAGCAAATAAAAAAAAAAAAAAACCCATTTGGGTCTAGTTGCTTCTGATTCTAGGTGCCCCTGTGTGTTATTGATTAGAACTGTGCCATAGAGTTTTCTTGGCTGCAATCTTTACAGAAGCAGGTCACTAGGCTCTTCTTTTGCAGTGCTGCCCGGGGGGGGTGGGGTGTTCCCACCTCCAACCTTTAGGTTAGTTCAAACCAAAAACCAAACTCAATGCCATTGAGTCGATTCTGACCTATAGCTATCCCCATTGGGTTTCCGAGGCAGTAAATCTTTATGGAAGTGGATTGCCCTGTCTTCCTTCCGCAGAGTAGCTGATGGGTTTGAACTGCCAACCTTCTGGTTAGCAGTCAAGTACCTTAGGTACTACACCACCAGAGCTCTTTCTAGGCTAGTAGTCATGTGGAAACTGTTTGCACTACCCAGGGACTCCTAGTACCAACCTGCACGTTCTAATTTTAAATAAGCTATAGCCAGTAATTTTTTTTTTTCAAGCTGCAAAGATACAGAATATGCATTTTATCCAGTTTGTTGTTTGGGGGCAGATTTTTTTTTTTTTTTTCTCAAACTGTCACAGCCATTTCATAAATATAAAATAAACTCTCCAGACCTTTGCATTTCTTTTGCAGTAGGGACATCAGTGGAACAATTCTTTCTAAGGCCATAATCTGCTGTTAGCAGCTTAGGCTGCAAGCCTGGATTTCTGAAAAATAATGAATCAGATAATGTGGCACTAGTCACTTCTACACTATCTTACATTTTAAGCTGCTTTTTGCTAGATCCAGAGATTTTTAGAGCTGAAGAAGCCTCAGAGATCATAATCATCTAATTTTATAGATGAAGTAACAGAAGCCGAGAGAGGTTAACCTGATTCTTTTGACAATAAAAGATTTAGATCATGTGAGTTATAACCCAGTGGCAAGGCAAAGGATAGCCGTGGGAGGGTTTACCCCATTCTCTGCTCTACACTTCCCATAGTCTCCAGTCAGCCCCCTTTACTCCCTTCCGCCCAGCCCAGTATAGAATCCTAAACTGGTGGCTGTCACTTTCCAGTATATGACTTTACATTATTACTACCGTTGAGTTTTGTGGGTCTTGAAAAACTGGAGAACTTGTTAGTAATTATCCTGTTGCTTCTTTTATTCCACTGATTTTATCTTCCTGTGTTTCTTGTTCCTGACTTGTACTTAGGACAAGATTTGGGGCATAGTGTATATGCACATCTGTAGGAAACAATACCTCTTTTTCCCTGTAGGCACTAACTATTTGGCCATTTAAGCTTGATTTCTTCTTGGGATCTTAACTAATTGTTCTTTTTCTTTCCCCCCGGTGTTTCTTCAGCAGTAGCGACTCACAGGTTTCCAGAGCCCTTTCTGGGATGGAATATGGTGATTTCCCCTCTTCTATCTTAGAGAACTCTGAGAAGTTTAGAGAGGTTTCTGCACAGGTGACATTCATTGAGCGACAAGGTGTTGTTAGCTGTCCTTAAGTCACCTCTCCACTCAGCAACCTCGTGCACAAGGAACCAAATACTGCCTGGTCCTGGGCCACTCTCATGTTCAGCTACAGATCAGACTGTGATCCATAGGAATTCCATCGGCTGATTTTCAAAATGAAGTAGATTGCCAGGCCGTTCTTTCTAGTCCAGCTTAGTCTGAAACTTGCTCAGCATCATAGTAACACGAAATCCACCACTGAGAGAAGGATGGTGGCTGCATATGAGGTCCATGGGCCAGAATCAAACCCTGGCCTCCTGCATGGAAGTTGAGAATTCTGCCACTGAACCACTAAGGCCTATTACTTTGAATATATTGTTATTGTTTGTTGCTGTTGAGTTGGCTCCTATTGATGGTGGCTAGGCTGTCTGCTTCTGTAAAGATTTACAGCCCTGGAAACCCAACCGGGGTCACTATGAGTCGGAGTCACTCAATGGCAGTGGTTTAAACATTCGCGGGTCCTGTGCCATCTTCATCATCTTTGTTATGTTTAAGTTCATTGTCGTGGCTATTGTATCAATCCATCTAATTGAGGGTTTCCCTCACTTTTGCTGACTGACCCTCTAAATACCAAATACATGTCCTCCAGGGATTGAGTTTTCCCGATGAGATGCCCAAAGTAGGCTTACTCTGAAATAATACCTAAAATTAGTAGGTGATTAATAATACCTACAATACACGGGGAGCTCTGGTAGTGTAGTGCCTAAGGCACTTGACTGCTCACCAGAAGGCTGGCGGTTCAAACCCACCAGCCACTCCTGGGAAGGAAGATGGGGCAATCTACTTCTGTAGTGATACTGCCTCGGAAACCCAAAGAGGGGTTGCTATGAGTCGGTCTGACTGGATGGCACATAACAACAACAACAACAATACACATGGTATAACTCAGCGTCTTACTGCTCCGTAATTTTAAGACATTTTATTTTAAAATTTCAATTTCTCAAAGCCTCCGTTTCCTCAGCTATAAAATGGAATATTAACATCTCATACAGATCTTGTGGGCATCCAGAGCGGATGCTCAGGAATATGCTACAAGTCTCACATGTCATTTTACATGTCCTCGTACTTTAAAAAATAAACGGGAAAAATTCATTTTACCAATGTCTTTTATGTATCCCCCAATACTATCATTTCAAAATGTAATCAGCATAAAAATTACTGGGGTATTTTATATTCTTGTTTTCGTACTAAGTCTTTGACGTGGGGTGTGGCTTTTTCTCAACTCCGGGTAGCCACATTTCAAGTGTTCGAAAGCCACACCTGGCTGCTGTATTGGGCAACAAACGTAGTTCCAGACAGAGGAGCAAACACGCCCTCTTGACGTAAGCTTTGCCTGTTTCTTGCCCGCTGGAGGCGGAGCTTCTCAGAAAGCAGTTTTTGGGCTCTTCCGGCTGCCGTAGAAAAGCGCTGCGGTGACGGTGCCACGTCCCCTGCGGCGGCGGGAGCGGAGGCAGTTGGGCCTTCGGGTGGCTCCTGGCGGCCATGGCTTTCACCCTGTACTCGCTGCTGCAGGCAGCCCTGCTCTGTGTTAATGCCATCGCCGTGCTGCACGAGGAGCGCTTCCTTAAGAACAGTGAGTGGGGCCGCAGGTCGCGGGCTGAGGTGGCAGCGAACCCGAGCCGGGACGCGGACCCGAGCTAGCACGGGTATAGGGACAACCCGGGCTCGGGATACGCGAGCCGCCGAGGGCTCGGCTCTGGGTGAGGAGCCGGGCCCTTCCTTGGATGGGAAGTTGAGCCACTTTGGTTTCACCAGGCTTGAGCTCCACATTGCGGGTGAGGCGTATTCAACAAGAAGCCTACTGTGTGCCGGGCCCTAGGGGCCGAGGGGGTGGGAGGAAGATACCTAGAGGAGCCAGGGACGCCCCGCAGTTAGTTTAGGCCAGTAATTTCATTTCACTTCTCTGTAACTGCCTTTAATAATCGAAAACCTAGAGTCTGAGTTTTGATTTAAAGTGTTTGTGTGGGGGGCGTGGCTCACTTTAGAACAAGGGTGGTTAGAAGAAAGGGCTGAGCGAGGGCAGTAGGAATTCCTGGCCTTTGGGCCAGTAAGAGAACAAGAAAAATGGTGAAGTTGTCAAGATATCCAGCCACCTATGTTCCTAGAAAAGTATTCAGCACACATTTAACTGGGCCCCTTCAGTGTGCTAGGAGCTATGCCGTATTCTACTAATAGAAATCCCAGCTGGGTCTCATAATCCAGCCCTCTTCATACTTTTCTGGGCGGGCTTCTCCTTCCTAAATGGGAATCATTTGCCATAGTGTACCAAGAATGCCTCTGCCAGTCACTAAAACAAACCTATGAAAGAGACTGGTTCATTTCACATATTCTTTCAGGAGGTCGTTATTGAGCATGAATTATATGTGAAGCATATGTAATAGAAACTAAAGTTCAGCACTTATCGTACCATTTTAACAGAAGCTGATCCAAACAAAAACTAAACAAGTAATGATAAGTATGCAGACTATTTGAAAGAGAAATGCAGGGAGATAGATACTACCCTATTGTGAAGACGTGGAGGAAGCATGTGTAACTGGAGATCTGTTACATGAGTACACTTTTGGTGAAAGTCAAGGGTTGGAAGGCAGTGTAGAGTTGGTGTGAAAATTCAGACTGTGAATTCAGAAAATTCTGGCATGGATTTTAAGCAGAGCAGTGAAATGATCAGATCTGTGTTATTTACAAGATCGTCTAGCTGCAGTGGTCTTTTCAGTTACCTCGTATGCATGTGAAAGCTGGACAGTGAATAAGGAAAACAAGAAGAGTTGATGCTTTTGAGTAGCGGTGTTGGCATAGAATAATGAAAATACCGTGGACTGCCAGAAGAAGGAAGAAATCTGTCCTGGAAGTAGTACAGCCAGACTGCTCCTTGGAAGTGCGAATGGCCAGACTTCATTTCAGGTACTTTGGTTGTGTTGTCAGAAGGGCTCATTCCCTGGAAAAGGATACCATGCTTGGTGAAGTTGAGGGTCAGCGAAAAGGGAGAAGACTCAGCAAGATGGATTGACACAGTGGCTGCAGCGATGGGCTGGGGTATATATAGCCAGGATCGTGAGGATGGCGCAGGACCACACAGTACTCATCCTGTTGTGTATGGGGTTGCCATGAATCGGAGTCAACTCACTGGCACCTAACAACAGCTAGCTACGGTGTGGAGAACAGATTGAAAGAGTAAAGGAGTGGGTGTGGGAAATACTATAGGTGTGCATCACTTAATGTTCACGATACGTTCTGTGACATGTGATGAAGTAAACCCCATAATTTTGAGTATTGTCTGTGAGTTCTGTGTGGCCGTTTTAAAGAATTATGAAACCTAGCAGAGAAGTACTGAGTGTCGTGGGAGGGACAGTTGGTGTCAGAGTTGGTAAGAAGGCCGGAGGGTGGCGGCATGTCTGGCCTCATAGGAATAAACCTTGGGCTGTTGATGGTATGTTGTCTCCCTCTCGTGAGCTTGGAGGAGGTCAGAGGATGCCAGCTCCATGCCCCTTTTCCATGTGATTTGCATGTTATGCGAACACTTGTGCCCACCAGGTGCAGGGTTCCCGGGCCGGCAGTGAGGCCGCACATCCTGAGTGGCTTCTGTAGAAGGCTCAGGAGGTGTGCACTTCGTCGGGTCCCACCCAGTTGTTGCTGCCTTCTCTGGTGAGCCAGCTGCAGGGAACGCCTGTGAGAAGCTGCCTGGGAGGGGCAAGGCAGGCCAGGGTCACCCAAGCTGGGGCTGAGGCACCTGGGGCACATGCCTTTCCGTGGATGCCCTAAGAGACCACACCAGACAAAATGTGGAGCCTAGACCTGCCAAGTCCTGGGAGCCAGTGAGGACTGGGGTTGGGTATTTGGGCCTGGGCCTCTGTTGCCGCAGATTGGGTAGCTTCTGGGTTGTGTGCAGCAGCTGTGCAGAAGTGAGGCTTCAACCTTAGACACCTGGGTACCCCAGCCACAGACATACATGCTGTTGGAGGTTGCCTGAACAGACCTTAAGTGACTCATACTTGTATTCTAAATAGTCCAAGTAGAATGGTGATGGGCAGAGTTGACTGGGTACAATAATAATAATAGGTAACACTTACGTAGCACTTAATAACGTGCCAGGATCTTTATGAGATGTTTTACACGTATTGTGTAATCATCACATCAATTCTGTGAGATGGGTACAGTTTTCATCCTCATTTTACAGATCAGAAACCTGAGGCACCAAGAGAGTAAATAAATAACCTTTCTAAGATTACACAACTGGAAAGTGGTAGAGCTAGACTTCAAACTTAGGCAGTCTGACTCCAGAATCCATCTCTTCCCCACTATACAGAAAAGTAGAAGAGATCATAAGATATTTTAGCACACTTTAGATTCAAAGATAGAAGTAGGTTCAAAGTAAAAAATGGAAAAAGATATGGAAATAGCAAACCACCGGAGAGCTGAAGTGGCTCTACTAATGTCAGACAAAGTAGAGCTTAAACCAAAAGGTGTTACAAGATGTAAAGAGACATTTTATGATGATAAAAGGGTCAATTTATCAGGAATTAGTTATAAATATATATACACCCAACAACCCCCAAAAAACCAAACCCACTGCCATCAAGTAAATTCCGACTCATAACACCCCTATAAAATCTAACAACAGACCCCCAAAATATATGAAGCAGAAACTGACAGTTGGAGGGAGAAATAGACAATTCAACAATAACTGGAGACTTTACTATTTCACTTTCAATAATGGATAGAACAGCCAGGCCACAAAGAAAGAGAAGACTTTAGCAACACGATAAACCACCTAGACCTGGTAGACATCTATGAAACACCCCATTCAACAACAGCAGAATACATATTCTTTCCAAGCTCGTATGGAACAGTCTCCAGGATAGACCATAGCTAGACCATAAAAGAAGCCTCAATAAATTTAAAAGGATTGGAATCATAGTGTATTCTCTGCCAACAATGGAGTGAGGTGAAAAATAATAGAAGGAAATTTGGTAAATTCACAATTATGTGGAAATTAATAACACACTCCTAGATAACCAGTGGATCAAAGAAGCAATCATTAAAAGAAACTAGGAAATTTTAATGTGAATGAAAACAAAACCAAACATATCAAATCTTATGGCGTACAGCTAATGTGGTGCTTAGAGGGAAATGCATAGCTATGAACTCCTATATTAAAAAAGAAGAAAGATCTCAAATCGATAACCTAATTTTTCGCCTTAAGATGCTGGAAATAAAAAGAGCAAACTAAATATAAAGCAAGCAAAAGGAAACTAATAAAGATTATAGTGGAAATTAATGAAATATGGAATAGAAAAAATAGAATCGATGAAACCAAAAGTTGTTTTGAAAATATCAACAAAATTGACAGATCTTTAGCTGGACTGACCACCAAAAAAAAGAGAAAACTCAAATTACTAAAATCAAGAATGAAGGAGAGGGCATCATGACTGAGTTTACAAAAATGAAATGGATTGTAAGGCAATACTATGGACAAATACTATCAGCAAATTAGATATTTTAGATGAAATGGACAAATTCGTAGAAAGACACAGACTATTGAAACTGATTCAAGAAGAAATAGGAAATCTGAATAGACGTATAACAAAGGATCAAATTAATAGTTCTAAAAACTTCCAGCACTACCACACTGAGGGAGCAAGTTGTTGGACCTGTGAGTTTGGGCCTATGGTTGCAAGGGACATCAGGGTCGATTGGCATAACATACTACACAAAACCATTGTTCCACATCCTATTTTGGTAAGTAATGCCTGGGCTCTTAAAAGCTTGCAAGTGGCCATCTAGATGCAACGATTGGTGTCTCTTCACCTGGAGCAAAGAAGAATGGAGAGAACCAAAGATGCATGGAAATGATTAGTGCAAGGGACTAGTGAGCCATGTGAAACAGCGTATGTGACCATGAGACCAGAACTAAATGATGTCAGGCTGCTGCTGTCAACCACTTGAAAAGGGATCAGTGCAGGAAATCCTGGATAAAGTGGGAGGAAAATGTAGAACAAAACTGAAAATCACAAAAAGACCAGGCTTACTGGTCTGATAGAGGGTAGTGAAACCCCTAAGACTATGGCCCCTTACTTACATATGATATTAATGATATTGTTCAATAACTTCTGCATTTTGTTGAATTACCTTTCTTTGGAATTGGTACAAACATGGATATCTTCCAGTTGATTGGGCAGGTAGCTGTCTTCCAAATTTCTCAGCATAGACAAATGAGTGCTTTCACTGTTGCATCAGTTTATTGAAATATCTTAGTTGATATTCCATCAGTTCCTGGAGCTTTGTTTTTCGTTGATGCCTACAGTACAGTTTGGACTTCTTCCTTCAGTACCATTGGTTCTTAATCATATGCTACCTCCTGAAATGGTTGAATGTTGATCAGTTCTTGGTACAGTGACTCCGTGTATTCCTTCCATCTTCTTTTGAAGCTTCTAGTGTTGTTCAGTATTTTTCCTGTAGAATCCTTCAATATTGCAACACGATGCTTCAATTTTTTCTTCAGTTCTTTCAGCTTGAGATATGCAAAGCATGCTCTTCCCTTTTAGTTTTCTAACTGCACATTTCATAATAATATTT